GCATTTAAGTGTAGAATGACGCCAATATTCATCAGGCAAACATTAATAAACGAAGGGTTTAAAAACCTGGTGAATTTCAAAATAAAAATGAAACATCTGGCACTTGCTTACTGCAAACTTGCAGTTTTGCGCCGCTTTGCGACGATTTTTTGCAGAATGTGCGTTTAATTTTTGAACAGCAGGTTTTTCCTGAAGACAACAGTTTTTATTCGTTGGCTGATTGCGGCTTCAATATCGAGCTGACACACACACACAAAACTGAAACTTCCAGTAGTTTCAGGTAAAACTCCAGCTACTTACTCTTAACTTTTCGTCTAAATCTTCACTATCCGGAACATGAACGATGAAATTTTCTTCTGACTCTCCCAGCACCACCATCGTCGCAATATTTTCAAGCAACTTTGATGTTTCGTTAAAGCTTTTTCGGGGAAGTTGAGTTGAACTTTCGGGGTTCTCCAGTTAACTCGCAACGTTTCACCGGTGTGAACAAACGACTAACCGAAATTGATTAGATCGAACATCAGACGAGCGGAAACTGGCCGGAAAATTAAAGCGTTGTGAACAACTTGTAAATAAACTTGGCCGCGAGTTTTCATTGAGAAAAGCAAACTGTTCGGGGAATGTGGAGAAACTGAAAACATCGTGGGATTTTTTCAATATTAACTACACACGAAAAAAACATTTGCAGGATTAACCGACTCTTGACTCTTTAAATAAAAACTTCCGGTGTTTTCGCAATTTAACATGGCACTTTTAATCGCCATGTCAACGTATGCATTTTATGCTAATCTTCGGCTTTATACTTTTGCAAATTTTTGCATGTTTCATGTGAAAAACGGTCGATTTCCAAATCCTCCCAAAAAAAATGAATAAACCACGAAAGCTTCTGCATGAATAATGCAATTAAATGCAGAAATCTATCCAACAGTTAATTAAATCGGCCATCGTTGGATCCAGGCAAAGCCTGGCGCAATTCCGATAAGTAAATTAAAAAGCGAGTGGATTGAAAAACGCAAACCTATCGGGCAATAAATGTCCGGGTTAATTAGATGTGTTTTCTTGGCCCAGTTCAATGCGATTCAATTAAAATGCCCAACACAAGAAGGGGCAAAACAAACATGAGAAAATTGGATCGGCCGGTCCCTCCTTCAAAACGCATCCATCCAGACACAATACGTCGATCAATCAATTTTCGTTATGTTCTTTTCAGCAGTTTTGGTGCAGTCGGTCGGCTCGATCTAATGGATAGTATATACTTTCCTAACTGTGTTTCAATTCCCAATCAAATTCATTCCTGGGTTTCAGTCATTTATTGTTTCTATTTATCAATCAAAATACGTTTCGGTGTATTTTTCCACCATCATCAGTTTTTATGCAGCAAAAATGCATGCCAAGGCTTAAAGCAGCAACAACGCTACACATAAAAACTGATGATGGTGGAAAAATACACCGAAACGTATTTTGATTGATA